TTTTTTTTTTTTTTTTTTTTTTTTTTTGGAACTGATAAATCTAGCATTTGAACTAAAGTTTGATGAATTTAGATTGAAAACCAATAACAAATCATTTGATCACTAAAACTGATCAAATTCAACAGTTTTTCTTCGCTTGCGCTCTTCTCTTTCTCTTCGTTTTTAAACAAACTGGTAAAAAAAATTCAACAAATTTCCTCGTGTTTTTCATCTTTTTTTTTACCAAAAATAAACCATGAAAAGCGTAAATGTTTTTTTTTTTTTTTTGAAAAATAAGCGATAAAATGCTGTAATCAAAATTGACATACTTTATCAATTGACTGAGCATATTCGATCTCATCCTGTATTCGAAAGTTGAAGTTATTATCATCAGAAAATAAATCATGAAACTTTCTTATTGTTGGATCGTTCTAAAAGTTGGTCATTATAATGATAAAATAAAACGACTAAAAAGTTTATTTTGTAGAATTACAATTAAAATTTTTAAAAATACGTAAAAGTTTGAAAAATTATTGAAAATCAAAAATTTTCTTACATCAACATCATTAAATCGAACGCACAGCATTCCGAGATCGTAGACTACCCGAAGCCTTGTTGGATGAGTTGGCCTTCTCCAAATCCTGCGTCCCATCTGAAAAATTTCTGCATATTCTCGTTTGGCTTCAATCCATAAATCTCTCTTCTTTTCAGCCTCGGTTATCAATGGAGCCAACCGATAGTAACAAGTATAGATGGCTGATGCATACCTATAAATATGTATCTGTTATAGATCATAATAACGCTTACAATAACAGTACAAATTGCTTGAAAAAAATAATTACTGGTTGACAGAAAGATGAAAGTCAACCAACATTATATTAATGTTTAATATTTGAAAATGTTGCCAAAAACAACTGAAAAATTTGCTTACCAAGCTAAGTAGCAAAATTTTTTAGTAATTTCATGCAGTCTATCTAACCATAGTTCACATATTTGCCTATTTTGTTCAGAATCTGCACAAGGTTGATAAGCATATTGAAATCTGAATAAATCATTCGCTGTCCATGAATCACCCTACAAGAAAAGGTACATTAAAAAATTGTATTTCTTCTTTTTTCCTAAAAAAATTTTTGAAAAAATCTTTTTTTTAGTAGCTAAAATTTTGTGATCTTTAACTCTTAAGCAATTGTTTAGACAATAACAGAGCCATGTGATACATATAGTCGTTCTAATTGATATAAATGCTACAGCCTAATATCACATACTTTTCGGCGCATTCGTTCCAGCTCATCTGATGGACGCCGTGACAACTTTGAAGCAACCCGACGAATTGTGCAGCCTTAAACAATCACTTAATATCAATGTTTAACGGTTAGTGAAAAGCAAAAAGAAAAAAAAAGAAAACAACCGCGGATATTTGATTGTTTTGATAGATTTATCGTTGATTGTATTAAAACTTTAGCAGAAAAATTTTCATGTTTAAATCAGATTATTCAGTTACAGATTGTATGTAAATAAATGTTAGCAATTTTTTTTTTTTGCCATAACATTTCTTTCTCTAAATTTGTTATAACATATTTTTTAAAAAAAAAGCAGCAAAAAATGTAAAAAAAAAAAAA